AGAACTGCGGAAACATGACGGCAGTTAGCGTTTCCGCAAGAGTAAACCTGACGGAAACGCGAGTATAAGGGATGCGTTTAAGCGTGTCCGCAGAAACTGAAACATGACGGATACACGTGTTTCCCGCAACGGTTACTTACAATTCCGTCTGCGGATATTCAGGTTTCCGTGAGGTAACCGTTACAAAAACGGAAAGGAAACGTCTTTTTTCAACCTGTGTTCAACGTTGTGTACTCCCTCTCCTGGACCTTTGTCTGTTAGCTCTAAAACAACAGCTGTTCGTATTGATATTTGTTACAGTCTATCATGATGCCTTTATTGAGAATCTTTTATTGCGTTTAATTTTATTTACATTTCGAATAAAACTTTGGGCCCCCCCTCCGTCAAATGAATGATTTTACTTTGAGCCCCCCTATCTTGGCAGCAATTTTATGTAATGCCCGGGCCCCTGTAGTTGTTCAGCCCCTCCTTCCTGATAATTATTGCACAGTCCCTAACATGTTATTTTCACATGTGAAGATATCAAGCTTTCGCGCGAAAGCTCACCTGGTATTTGATGGTGTTTATATAATGAAACATTATAAAAAAAATTCCTACCTTTACGACTAATCACCTGATGATCATTTTGATTCGACTTTTTAAAGACCTTTGAAGGTTTATTAACACTTACAGCCTACGTCAGTTTGTTTCAAGCTGACGAAAGCAAAGTCAAATATTCGAATGTGAAATAAGGCAATTCAGACCATCTATTTTCTATCCAGAATATTCAATGCCATTTTGATCACTGTTTCTCAGGTACTGCTTTGTTTTGTCAGACAAAGTTTTTTTCTCAGTTTTTGGCTCTCTTTTGTTACTATAATGTTGCTTAAGTGAAGGCTTAGCTACATAATTCCGGAATTTTTCTGGGGAGTTGTAGACATTGTGAAGAATTTTAGAAAATCGCGGGAATTTTAGGGAATAATCGTGAACTTTAGAGCAATTTGAACATTCACCCGACATTTTGGCGACATATCACGGCAAAAACGTTCACAAAACGTCTTTTGTTGTCTACTGAGCACAACAAATCAGCGGTTTTTCATCAGAGTCGTCTACACTATAACTTATCTGCGGTTATTCACCAAAAGGGGCCCATGCTATAAAAAGCAGAAATTTTGTGAGAATTTTAAACATTTCTAAAGCTTTTTTCAGGAAATTCCGGAAAGAATTTTGGGCCATATTTCGACAATAATGTAGCCATGCCTACTTAAGTGGCCAAGGGCGACCAAGAGGGGCCCGCGATCACAATCTTCCGCATGATAGTCAGAACATAGTAAACGCTGGTTGTTAGTTAAACACAAAGCCCGTCCCAGGTTTCAACATAGTAGAGGCCATTTCCGAGTTTCAAAAATTCTCATTTTAAAAAACATTTCTAAGGGCCTGTTTACATGGAGGTGGGGAACACCAGGTAGGTGAGGTAACCCGCTTAGGTGAGTTAGAAAAATAACCCTCCTTTAATTGCAATCTTACAACTTCGCCATCCCGGGGTGCACTTTCTCAAGATTATTGAATGGGCTCTAAGCACGTAAAAAAGAGAAATGCTGGCAAACCACTTGTTTTGGCGATTAATGCTCTTCTACATTCAAGTTGCTGCTCTTGCTGCAACCTTCAGTGCTGTGGCTTTCTATTGTAACCTTCAATAATGATACAAAACCACCGCTAAAGTGAATTTTGCACGGATTTGATGCTTCACGAATCGAACCTGGTTAGGCGGGTTACCCTACCTTGAACATTTACATGGCAAAATTTGACCCCTGCTGAGAGGGTTACCCGGTATGGCAGATCGGGCTACCCGCCTAGGCGGGTCACCCCACCTATCATGTAAACGAGATCAAATTAAAACGAGAGGTTATATGGACAGGCGGGTTACCCACCTAGGCGGGTTACCTCACCTACCTGGGGTGCCCACCTCCATGTAAACAGGCCCTATGTGCATGAGAACTCTTTTGCATGAGAATAAAAACCATTTTCATATCAATGGTTTTGCACTTAGCCTCGCTTTGAAACAGAGGCTTCAGGCAACTCGGAAATGACCTTTTAAAAAATCGGAGTGCTTAAATTTACATAAGCTAACTGGGTGGAAATCTTGTGTATAAACATAAAACTTTAAAATTTTACTTGGTGGGAGAACAACTCGCTAAAGTTAATCAAAATCAGCGCACTGAGCGGACTTAAAGAGTAGGAAAAAAACGCATCTTCTCAAATCACATGAAAGTCAACCAGGCCTACACTAGTCAAAAGGCTGGCTACGTCCCTGCCCCATATTTTCTGAAGCTTCCAAAGTGCGAAGCCATTGATATGAAAATAACTTTTTATGTAAATGAAACTCATTATCACAAGAAAGGTTTTGCACTAAGCCTCGTTTTGAAAGTGAGGGTGTTTGCAAACGTAATTGGTGTTATGGTGGCCAACTAGAAAACCAAATGGTTCACTCGGCCATCATACTCAAACTTTAATAATATATAGATTTAGCCAGGGCTAAAAGCGAAGCTCTCTTAAATATACTTATAATTTACTAGAACAAAGTACAAAATCGAGTAATGCTAAACGGCGACCGCAACGAGAACTGCAAAAAAAAAGAAAAATCAATAATTAGCAACAACAAAAACAACTTTGCACGTGCAGCACCAATTTTTTGAACATTTCTTTGCCATTGTTTTGCACGACCACAACGTGAAACTTTCTAGTTACACGTATGTACTCACCAGAGATTTTGTTACTAGACTAAATGTGTCCCTGCTCGCTTTTTTTTCACTGCCGCTCATTTTTTCCTAGCCGGCTTCTCCTTGCTGACCGCTAGTATTTCTCATTTTCTCACCCCCGATATAAAATGTTTATGTTCAAATGTTCCAACAAAAATCGTGTCCTTTGTTTTTTATCTCTGGCTCTAACTGTTTCCCTGTTATCCAAGTCATTGTAGAAATTAGAACTTAGTCGAAAAAAACTTGACTTTGTTGTTGTTTTTTCTCCCTAAAAGTCCGGGTGGCCACGCGAGTTCGCGCCAAAAACCTTGAGTTCTATTGGGTTGCCATACCTGTTCAGTGATTGAGTTATTTTACAATGGTATGCCTGTGTTGCAGAAGGACGCGCGGCAGTCTTACCTATGGTGCTCCGCTGCTCACGCTTCGCGCGCGCGAGAGTTCCGCTATTAATAGGCCATTTGCACTACGAGGTCAGGTGACATCGTTTTTATGAAAATGAAAGTTATATGATTTTGCCTTCGAAAAACGATTAGTGGGTCATATCTTAAACAAAATAATTGTGATTTGGTTTTTCAAACCCGCACCATTTTCTTAGAATGGGTAAGTTCGTAGCTGGTCACGTGACCAAAATGAGATTTTTAAAACTGTATAAATTACCTCTTTCTGAACACAAATTTTGCACTTAAACTTCAAGGAAAATGTTGAAAAGATGATGTGTTAAAGTTTACAGCACATCTGAGCGTAACTATCAAACTTTTAACAAGATGTAAGCAAAAAAAAGTTTTGGCCGCCATGTTGGAGGGCAAGAGTATGCCCTCCAACACGGCGGCCAATACAAATCATACTATTTTGTTGAAAAATCAAAGTGCCATAAAATATCTCCCTTAAATGCGTTTCCTCTCAAATTTTGGGTATAAGATAATTTTGACGTGCTCTGTCAATTTTTGATATCAGCAAGAGTCCAACTCATTGTTTAAAGGAAGCATTGGTCACGTGACATCTTAGTGCAAGTGGCCTATTCAATTGTAAACGACAGTCTAAAAAGGCTGTAACCTAGCACTAGTTAAAATAATGAGAGAAAATAAACTGAAATGAATCGAATCAAAACTCAGAAATAATCTTGGCTATTGCCTTGTTTTCGCGACGTCCCTACTATCTGAGGCTGCCTGCCACAGGCAATGTAACTCGTAGCGTGAGCTAAGGAGGACTGTCATTTCAAACGACCAAAAAGGCTTTGAATGAAAACATGAACAAGGGTTCAACCGAAAGTTTGGAAAGGAAAAAAAAAACAAAACAAATTGTTGAGAAAGCCTTCTTCGGAAAATTTGAAACCGCAATCTGTAGGTTTGAGCCATAAGTGGCTAAAAAGCGAACCACGACAACAAGACGGATTTCCCAAAAAGACACAACTCGTTCAGCGGAGTCAGAAATGATTATATAACCATGGACGTGATCTATGGTGACACTGAACAATTTTGCCGTTTTGCTTTTTTTAATCCGAGGAGCACAAACTTCCCAACTTTCACAAGTTACAGCCATAAAATAGTTAGAAATTTGATGCACTTCTGCTCTGTTAAAGGATAATAATACTTCACCTCGATAGTGCACGTTTAGAAGATAAAGGGCTGTTCAGGTCTGCAAATATACTCCAAATAGCGGATGTTGTCCGTCGAGTTCTCTTATTGCTATGTTTTTAGACAATAGTTCGTCGTGAAACGAGTAAAATGTTTCACCGACTGTTCGGCCATTTTTCTTTTCACAACCAAAACAATTCAACATCGGCCCCAGGTCTTCTCGGTTAACAGTACATTAACTTGCAACTGTGCTGCACTTTTGACGTCATCGGTCGATTAATCGCAAAGTTCTTCCGAATTTTGTCAACAGTAGCCAGTTACGGTGAATTAGGCGTGTGTGTCATCAGCCAATCAGAAACGGAGATATATTTTGAATGAATAATAATGTAAATTGTAAACCCTTTGTGTGGCCGGCTGTGCTGCCACTAATTAAGAGCAAGACAGCAAACGACAGTTAGTATTATGGGTAAAGGTGTCTGTTGGTCAAAGGACAACAATCACAGATCTTAATCCTGATTTTATTTCTATTCAAGGGTCTTGCAGGTACATTAGGTTCAGTTTCCACCGCTCCCTCGGGTCCGGTCTAGTTCGACCACCCAAAGGAGGAGAGGGAGTTTCACCGGCTCATTTCCAGAACAGCGGCTGGCAATCGAGCCTACTTGCACATATCTTTCCACAAGTTTAGTTTTTATTGGGGTTGACTAGCTTTACATCTACACTTACAAAGAAAAGAAACCTGAGAAGACAGACTTCTCAAGGCTTGCTTATAGTTTGTACTAAACGAAAAAAGGATGAGCGGATTAACAGCTGTACTTAAAGACGGAAAAACATAGAAAGTAAAGCCAGTGATTAGTAAACATGTGTCCTGTACAAAAAGATCTGGACAAAAAATTCTAAGAACAAAATACATAGATAGTGGCGTCCAGCAGAGGAAAAAAGCAATGACAATAGTTATCAAGATTTTAAGAATTTTTCTGTTCTGCTGGCTTCGTCCCACTATATCTTGTGGTCTTGTTTGAATGTTACTGTTCTTGGTACTCTGTTTCAGTTTTATCATTATCAGAGAATAAAGAACCACAATCGTAATCAGGGGAAGAATGTAAAATAGAGCGATGCCGTTTGCGTGAATACCTATTTTAGCTTCGTCCCTCACCATAAATCTACAAACTCTCCGGTTCTCTACCGTAGTTATCTCGGAAAAGATTAAGTAAGGAAGAACACCAAGCAAAGGTACCAGCCATGATACCACGAGTAAGCCCACTCGAATTTTGCGATTCATCACAGCAAATTTAAAGGGAAAAACAATAGCAACAAATCTGTCCACACTGATCAACACAAGACTCAGAACGGAGACTGTCTGAGATAACGCCCTAAAATACATTCCTAGCTTGCATGCAGCCAAAGCCGAAGACCCACCGATAAAAACAGTGCTAGTCAGCATGCCTTCACAGACGTACAGCGGCCAAATGAAAAATGGACCAATGAAGTCAGAGACAGCCATGCTCACGATGTAGTAATTAGTGCTTGTCCGTAGGCTGGGGGTCTTGAAAAAGGCTGTGACAATAAGCATGTTTCCGATGAAAGTTACTGCAGTTATTAGAGCCAAAATCGATGTAAAGAGTGTAGACGCCATCCAAGGGCAACCAGAAGAGGAAGAGTTTAGTGGATGTAATGTGGAATTATCCATTATTAAATGACTTGCTTGAAGCTTGATTTCAGCGCGGAAAGCTAAACGGATAAGAATATTATCAAATTAGGTTAAGTAATTCATGGGACAAAGTACTTAACTACTAAAACTAGATATAACACGAAAGATTGCAAAACTGAGGAGCGGTGTATTAACTATCAAATCCTGTATCGAACCACTGTGAATGGCGTGAATCACTCTGATCAATAGGCGGTAGAAAATTTTCGTCATTTATTTCAGACAGGAACAAAAACAATATCCTCTGGTCAGGTCTCAGAGTTTTTATTTGTTTCCTTTCGTCACGTTTTGCGGTGCCTCCCATTCATTCTCGGACATTGAAGTTTGAATCGTACACGCCAGCCCAGCGTGTGTTTGTACATTCTTAATAATTTGTCCAAACTTTTAATCATAAGAATATAGTTCACTTATACATGCGTGACGGCTTGCCTACAATTGGGACTTTCAATCAGTTATTAACTGTATTCGTTCGTTTAGTTTTCTGCCGGTTGAATTCACAGTTAAATTTGGCATTGTCTTGCTATTTGTAGCACTAATCGTTAAGAATAAGCGTAATAATAAAAAAACGAACTGCAAATGACTAGAGTGACCCAATCATACGGTTGCTGCTTGATCCAGTTTTCACCGTTTACTCAAAAGGGCTAGGTCACGATGATTTAGCGGTTTTAAGTCAAGTATGGCTGAAGTCGTTAGCCAGTGCCTTTATCCAAGTAAAAAATGCTTCTGTCGCTTTATGAAGTAGATACCAAAGAAATTTCATTAGTGAACAGTGACCACATCATTTTTTTGGTGATTTATGCAGTTATTGCATTAACATTCGAAAAAGGTGGCCCAACTTTTTCAAGTTTCAATCCATGTCTATCCTTGCCATCCTGTGCGACTGATACAGTTTCAATACCTAAATATAGTCTTGAATAACAAAACTGGAATTTTATTTTGGAATTAAATTGAAGGGAAAAAAATTGTAGCTTTTTAAAAAGATAGCAAATACTAAGATATAGCTCCTTTGAGTTGACTCACCTGATGTTCCACGTTCTCTATTCACTGAAGAGTGGTAACTCAAGCTGCTGTAGAGTCTGGCAAGCCTTCTTCTCTTACTTCACCATGAAGTATTACAAGCTAATATAGGTGAGTATTTTATTTAGCTGTTGCTAGGTGACGTTAATATCTCGTACGTGACATCCATCCCCGAGGAATGCAAAGTTCTAAACCATGCATGTACCGTTTGTCAATAGAAGGTATATGAAAGGGGATACTTTTTGTGTCAAAAATGGTATATAAAAGGGTGCATGTGAGGGGTTGGACCTCACGGCGGAGCCTCCCCGTATAAAACTTTGTTACACAGCCCCTCCCGTCATCAACAAGTCCAACAACAACGTTGCGCAATCAAACTAAACAAGCTGGTTTACAATTTCCTACTGCACTAATATACGTTCTACTATTTTTAAATAAAAGAAAACAGCATATTATCATTTGCAATTCATGGGTTTCTATGAACCAGTAAAGCTCAGTAGAACAGAACTAATTAACCAAGTGGGCTATCTTTTCCACTGTGGCCCTTTGTGTGTGATCTAATAAAGATCGTACTGTGATAAGAAATCGACTCACTAGTAATTCTCGAGCATATTGCCTGAGTTCATTACCATGAATATCAATGTAATACTAATATATGTAATACTCTGAGATCATTTATACTATCATATACTTAAAAGTAAATACGTCACTTCCGGCAACAAACAGGAAAACTTATTATGACAGTTCAATCTTACAGTGCTTCTCTATACCAATGACCAATGACCAATGACCAATGACATGTTCAATTGAGCAAATACAGCCCAGCAATTTCTAGAGCTCGAGAAACGCTGAATATTTCCGAATTATCGTTACTTTCCTCTAAAATATTCTTCCAACTTACTTATAATTTTGGGGCGTTGTATGTTTTTGCATTTAACTATCAAGATATTGCTATCATTGAGAAAAAAAAGGTCTACTGAAAATTTAGCCTCCAAGAATCTGATGAAATGACGGCTACCTCATGTATATTTCCGCGCACTTTCGACCGAATCCACTATGGTAGTTAGAAGATTCAGA